GCTCAGCCATCCTGAAATGCGGCCAGCCGCCGCTCGTTCCCGGGACCCCCACGCCGGTGATTTTTGTACGGATCCCCGCTGCCACATACCCTACAAGCAGTGGGGATCCACGGAGTCATTCATCCCTCCCTGGGATGGCTCCAGGGAGGGATGAGAGACTCCAGATGGGGGCGCCCGGTATTTTTGATAATAGCAGTCATCAGCGGCTTGTGAGCCGCTGATGACAGCTATTAATTTAAAGGGGACAGTCTGCTGAACAGTTATACTATAAGCGACCATCAGCTTATAGTAGAACTGTAAATGCCAGGTCCGTATGGCATACTGACCTGGCCAGCTGGAAGCACTTTTGTAGGTTCGTATGCCATACGTCCTTAGCAGCGAAAGGGTTAAATACTGCAAGCTTGGGTCTGGCTTTAAGTGAAGTATTTATTGCGGAGAGCAGGGAAAGGAATAATTTAAATTGGTAATAAAAAACGATTCCAAATAAAAGACTTGCAACATTTAATAATTTAAACCCAAGAGCACGGAAACAAGAAAATGTACTATATTGCAGCTTACAAGTTCTTTTAGATGTCATTAGGTGGCTGCATTAGTTTTCATTGTAAAGGCTAACAGATTTTTCAGCAAGTACAGAAAATACCTTGCCGGAAATGCAGCGTTGTATCTTAAATATGATGTGTTTTATTGTATTGCACTGTGTTATTAATGTAGTGGTGTCTATTGACACCGAGTGGCAGTGTGTTGCCAAAGCAATTTGTTTATGTATTTGGTATGCTTCCCTCCCCCTCCCCCCTCTTTTTTAGTGCTAGTTAGTGCAATTGGTACAGTGTATAAACCAACACATCGACCAGGTGATAAAATAAACAATGTGTCTTAAACTTTTAGCATTATTTCACCAAATAGTCCAATTCTGGGTATTAAACAAAACTGTGTATTCTAAAAAAGTCCTTTATCTTTCTGTCAAACTGCCTTCTCTGTGACTTACCCCACTAGTGCGTAGTCCTTAATCCAGTGGAAGAGATCTGTGATCTCTGCTACACAAAATCCTGCTCACCTTAAATTTTTTTGACCATAACTGAAATACTTCAGTATGAACTATAGCACCAACCCTTCACTGCCTGGGGTAGCAATCTGCCCTCATGTGGTATCTCCCGGCTTCACACAGATGTCATGATACTCAGATGTGAAGAGAAAAAGAATGGTACATAGTGTGACTCCGTTTTAAAAAAGTTTATTAAAGAACATAGTTTTCTACATGGTATCAAGATGTCATGTCATATGTTTCATGATAGACATCTTCTGTCCTTTTTTTTTGGTGGTATTTTTATACCTCTACCCCTTTTTTTTTTAGCAAAGAAGAGTTCAGGTAATTTGTGTAAATGTTTTTATTTTAGTATATATTATTGCATTATGTTTCCATGCTCTTGGTACTGCTTTACCACAAAATTGAGGAATGCTGAGTAGGGGTTACCTGCTCAATGAGAGACACCTGAGCTCAATTAACCCCTCCCCCTAACAAGAGCACTGCAACCAGGCAATTTGTTCGCCAAGCCCTGTGTGAGCAAGAGGGGCTGCTGTTTGCCAGTGTCCAATCCTCCTGTAGGCAGTCTGTGTCCTGACACCTGTATCCCTCATTAAATTTAAAGAACAAGGTTTTACGGCAAATACATGCAGTTAAGACACATATGTTTGCTAATGCCTGTTACGCTCAGTATCTACCCACAGGTCGAAGTGAGAAGAAGCATTTTGGGTGCTTTTATTTAGTTTAGCTGTAAACGTAGGCTGCAAAAAGGTTTTCATTTGTTACTTATTTTATTTCTCAAAGCTCATATTTTGTAACTTACACATGTTTGTTTATTAACTCCACCATTCATAGTTTATCTTTAATAGAAACCTTGGAGACTATATTGTGTTTGTGTGTGCTAAGTTTTTTTTTTTATAGGCTTTATGGATTTCATAAACATTTGCACGTTTGAGACATAAGAAATCGGGACTAGCATGTTTTTATTCTTCTGAAAATACATGATTTAGGGAAATTGTAAGTTCTTAATATGCATTTTAGAATGCGCATGGACATTAAATGTAGTTCTATTTTGTTTACACCACATGTGAAGCAGAACTGTACAGTAACCAGAAAAACGTTCACTGCATTAATGTACAGGTACTGTGTATTTCTGACCTGTGCATTGTGACATACAGTATATGAAATGTATTATGACATTATGTGCATTATCACATATAGAGTCATTATTCTATATGCAATTGTTCTGTAAAATTGTATATATTCTCTTATCTCTCAATAAACCGTTAAAAAAAAACAAAACAAAAAAAACAAAGCATACAGTGAAAACTGTAGTGTCCCCTCACAATGGTGGTGAGTGGAGAAGGACCCTTGCATTAGTGCTCCGTGGGAGGAAGAATACCAGACAGCTAAAAAGATTATTGGTAGCATTGGTTACTCACCTGAGAAGTGAAAGGAGATGCTCTACTGGTCCCACACCACTTATTGTGCCAAGTGACATTGACCCTGGAACAATGCAAGTACCATCAGATGGAATTCCCGCCACCTGAGGTTGGTATAAAGCCTATGAGCAGTGCCATTATGTTTGTTGTGTTTAACAGTTAGAATAAACTTCCTAAATATACTAAGACAACTCCTGCTCATGTGGAGATGTACTTCCTTGGGTAGAAGCTTAACTTTATAAGTATAATTCAGCACAACTTTATAAAAAAGTAGCAAATATATAGAACCATTGTAAATCAATGTGAAATAGCTAAGAGTGCTCAAAGAGAACTTTGAAAGGCCTGTTGTATTTTAGATTTAAAAAGAAGCAAACCAATTTGCACATAAAAATTAAAGACCGCACAATGAATGCACAAATTTGTAGCACTTTACCATATCACTAGAGCCACAGAAAGGATTTCCTAATAAATATTACAGTTTGTGCTAGGTGAAAAATACTTAGAACCTCAAAGTGATACCACATTGTTATCATAGCTTGTAAAAGAGCACCTTTTACCTACCTCTCCAGCAGCCTGTGTATAGTATATAAATGCAGCTGCATTGCTGCTCCCATACTTCTGGGAGCGTGATTACCTGCTCCTCCTGCCACACGCTCTATCGTCTCTCACTGGCACAAATGTTATTACAGGATATACAAACCGCAGGAGGAGCCACAGCAGGCTGCAGGGGGTGTATATATTTGACACACCTGGAAATTTAAAATACATCCGGCTGCTGGAGAACAACAAAGTGGCAGAGTTTGGAGACTTTGGCCACGGATCAGGTAAATGTACGTGCTCTTGTAATTTTGTAGTTAGTGTATGTAAAACCTGACAATTACCTTCTCCTTATTTTCTCGCTTTTGGTTGGTCTTTTAAATAAACTATTGAAAGCATTTTGTTATATCATTCAATATGTTATATGTGTTGGAGACCATTTCTGGCAGAATCTTTTGATCCTGCCACAAATCTATTGAGCTGGTATTTATAAGAGCATAGGAAGCTATGCGACTGGTTTATAAATCAACAGCAAAAATTTTCCCAGCACACTCACCAGCCAGCATGCAAAAAAAAACTTGTCTAACTGCTAAGGTTCAAAACAGAGGTTTTAGTTACACGTATAGAGCCCTTCCATGTGCACCTTGATTTAAAGCTGGTTATGAGTTGATGAGTGCGTTTGCCATTTGTTTTGCTTGGTTTATAAACCAGCCCCTTCCTTCTAAGGCCTGGTTCACACCTGAGCATTTTTATGCACAGATTTAATCTTGTGAAAACGCACAAAACACATTTCCATGCAAGTCCATGGCAACTGTTCACACCTTAGCGTTGGATCGCGCGTAGGAAAACGCCTGTCACATAAAAAGATGCAGGAGCTATTTTCAGGCAGATGTCATGTGGCTTTGGTCCCAATGGATATCTCTACACAGGGAGAAAGGCGCATTTTTAAATGCATATACCTGACTTTATATTATAAAGTTCTTATAATATAAAGCCAGGTATGCAGAATTGGATATAGCTGTGCCACACTATACAGTGTTCTGGTCTGGAGTCTCTACATGTGCTCATCTATTTTCACCACTATGGGGATACAATCCTTAGTTAGCAATGGCATGATAAATATTCATTTCATGTTCATTTGATGTTCATGTTCTTCATAATATTAAGAAACTAATCTAAAATCATGATTTTGTATTGCTTTAGAAAAAATGTGATCTGTCCCTTTTAAGAAAAAGTATTGGTAATTGGTATCGGTGAGTACTTGAAAAAAAGTATTGGTACTCGTACTCGGTCTTAAAAAAGTGGTATTGGTGCATCCCTACAAAAAAGCACAGAAAAAAATTGCACGAAACTGGAAATTCCTAGATGTGAACCTCGCCTTAGAGTGACAACTCTGCTTCTCCATAGATATGGTACATTAAGTGAGCATTGCATGGACATAATGCCTAGGACATAATGTGTGTTACTAGCAGGATCACCAGGTATATATAAAAAAAAATGAATGCTAATGCTGCCACCATGTTTAAGAAAGGGTAAGCTGCAAAAGATTTTATTTTTGTTCTTGGGTTTAGGTACACATTAAAGGAGAATTATGGGGTGAGTGAAAAAAAAATTCAAGCTGACCAAGACGGTGATAAGGAAGCTGTCACAGGTTGGCTCTATTGATCGTGTCAAGTCAGCCTCTCCGATCTTCCAGCGCTGACTCTGCCTCTTGATAGGCAGAGCCGGCTGTCAATCAGCCAGCGGGGTGGATCTCGACAGTAGGGATTTGTCCCGGCTGCGGCGCTCTCAGCATATAGCGGGCAATAGAATGCTATATACTGAGTTTCGGGTCAAGGGAGGACGTTCGTATACCTAAAGACTGTGACCCTAAAGAGAATTATGGGTAAAAAGGTTACCCCATAGTTTAAATGTGAGATAAAAGTGTTACATTTGAGTCTTTCACCATGCATCCTCACAGAATGCTGCTGTAGGTCCATCAAAAGATCAATTTTAGTGAGGAATAGATCTATTTTAAGACTGCAGAAGAATATTTGCAAATGTGTTGTTTTGGGAAGTCAGCTCTTCAGGTAATTTCTCTTCATTCTAAAATTAACAGAAAATTCTTAATTAAATATATATTTGTTCCCCTCAGGTCTGACAGCTCATTCAACTTCATGGCTTTCTTTTTCATATGTGGGGTGCAGTTTGTCCTGTCTGTCATCCAGGCCATTGGTATTTCCGGATGGGGTGCCTGGTGAGAATCTCCTCCTTTTTAAAAAGCTCTATATTATTTAACTAATCAATGTGACAAATGTTCAAGTTGGTTTGACAGACTTTCAGCAAGCCTTTTTCAGTCATATGTCCCAAGTATAAAACTGACATTTTGATACAATTAAAATTGTTTTAAAGACCTATGTTTACTCATATAATTTCTGAATTTTATGTTGCAGGTTTTAATGTAACTGAATTAATGGGTTGTTTATAAAGTCAAGGGCACACATTCCAAATTCATTAAATCCGCAATCAAGTTTTGGCTGCTGCTTGTTTTTTTTGCTTCTGCATGCTGCAAAATATTTCTAATAAATAGCTAGCAATGTTTTTTCGTGGGAAATATTCTGTAAAGTAAGGGAAGAATTTGATAATTTCTGATTTTTTTTTTTTTTTACTTTTGAAATTGCTGGCTGGCTGCAGTGACGTTTTTTAGCTCCAACGTGGGGGCTGCCATAGTGATGCTGTTCCCAGCTGTGATGTTTACCGTCAGTGCCATTGCAACTGCTCTAGCATTGGTCAAGGTAGGCACATAGATATTTTGCCTTTTATTTCATTTTTAAAGTTCTCGGTGTCAGAGTTGGCAACTTAAAAAAATGTAAAGATAAAAAGCACTAGTGTAAAAGCAGAACAGCCCCACCTTTAAAAAAATATAATAAATGCACATCTTCATAAAGGTAAAAATGTGCATTTTTATTTTTTGCATTGGAGCCTGTAAAGCATTGCAACCATGATCAGTGGATTATGGGTGCAATGCTCTTGCTCTTAGAGACTCTCCCTCCCATCCCTGCCCTTACTGAGGCATGCACAATCGAGATGAAGTATGGACGGGAGGAAGTGTCAATGGACTACAAGTGCAGTGACGTGACCATGTTTCATGTTACGCCCTGAACATGGCTGTAACAGGAAATATGGTATAAAAGGTAAACGTAGCATTTAAAGTGGAAGTAAAGAAAAATGTTTTTAAAAGCATTTTATGGCAGAAGAGACTGTGCAAGTTACTTCTGTACTGTGCAGCTCAGCTCATGGGCCCGCCATGCCGAAATGAAGTATATCACTTTTGCATGTGCTGGAGTTACATCATCAGGGCCCAACCAATCAAGTGCCTAAATACTTGTAACCTGGAAGAGAACTGAACTGCAGATAGATTCACTGCAGAGTGAGAATCATGGCGTTGGAGTGGATCGGTTTGGCAGGTAAGTCTGCCATAATGTACTATATGTTGTGCATACTAGCACACTATAGCTTAAAGCTCCTGGGTTTCTGGAGTTTTTTTTAAGTTGCTTTACTTCCACTTTAAATTAGTGGAAAAACCAGACAAAGTGCTGTTGAGGGATCACAAGACTTTGTGATCTGGATTGCCACGTGTCTGACTGGTAGTACATAGCAGTTTGCATTAGGAATTTCAAATGTCTTTATTGCTACAGGACTTCATGATCTATTTGTACAACATATTTTGGGCAAGTTACTGGTTACAAAAATTTAGCTTTATATCTTCATTCCTTAGATTTAATGCTGCAGGAATCCCAAAATGCATAGCATGAATAGGGCCTAGGTCTATAGGTAACACATGCCAAAATGGGCAGGAAAAGAATGGCAGAATAGGCATATTACATTAATTGTAATGATTCATGATGCCAGCTAAAAAACACATAGGAAATGCATGAGAGTTACTAGGAGGATAGGATCTTATTTGGAAATGTTTTCAGTCATTTACATGAAATGCTTTTTCCTAAAAGGTGCACAGGCTGTACAGAAGTGCTGGTTGTAGTTTCCAGAAAGCCCAAGATGAGTGGCACTCTGGGACATGGAAGAATCCAACTACCCATGAGGAACAGTACTCCGGTATTTCTGGGCCCAGTCTACCGCAGTATCCTACTGTGCCAAACTATCCTGCAGGAGGACAGTGGCCGTAAACTTTCTCTGCATTTTATAGCTTTTCGGTTTTCAACAGAGAGTTCTATGAAACCTACAGTAATCAAGTTTTGCCAGCGTGAAGATAACACAGACTTTTTATTTTATATTGTAATCAGACAAACGTATTATTATAATCGGTAATCTGAATTTTACACCCTTGGCCAAAAATTAAATTGTTAAAGACTTGCAGTGATGTGTTGACATTACTGGTTACGTTACTGAAGCTTGAACAGATGTCAGAATATCTAACAACAAGTTTATCTTGTAATATTTTACAATATTTCCCAGAGTTGTAAAAATGAAAATCAATGAAGCAAGTTACTTTTTTTCTGTTCAAGTTTTTTTAGACAATGTATACCACAAACATGTTATGTTATTTCATTTTAGGACTTTTCATTTTCACAAAATCTTTCATCATTCAATCATTAAAGCTGAATTCCAGGCCAACAGCTCAATATACTATAAAAATACATACAAGAGAGACGTTTTACCTGCAAAAAGATTTCTGTCCATTCAGTCCTGAGTTATACAAAGCCCAATCGGAGAACAGAGCCAGTTTGGTGACCTGAATTTTCTCTGCTGCAGTTAAACAATGCAGCTTCGTCAGCTCCCTGCCCTCAGCTTGTAAATGAATGAGGAAGGCAACCGCAGCAGCACAGTAATTGAGTCATTGCTCTTTCAATGTTCCTTGCTAGCTGAAGTGCACTATAGCAACCTAAGTGGCTGCTGGTGCTACCAATCCTTCTCGCAGAGGATTACAAGTGGGTTACATCGTCATTTTAAGGTACCCGTGCTAGATGAATTTAAAAATATGTCATTTATTTAATGAACATTATTGACTGTTTTTCTCCATTTGAGGGATGCAGGAATTCCTTCATCTTTGGGTTATACAGCCGCCTACAGGTGGATTGGACACTGGCAAACAAAAAACAGTAGGCAACTCCAGGATAACCCCTCCTACCAGCATGCCTCAGTTTTTTTGCTAGTGTCCTTTGAGGATGGACATTTTTCTTCAGCTCTGCTGAGAATAGTCTAATATTTTTTGTTATTTTTTCTCTTCATTCAAGGTACTTCTCTACATTACTACTCGAGTTGGTCTCATCGATTGCAGCTAACCGACACAGTGTATCCTCAGCATCTAGGAAGCATCTCCTCGCTGTTGCTGGTGCATAGCAGGGTGCCACTTTGGAATTTCTGTTCCTACTGCCCGCCTACAGTGACTTTGGTCACCTCCAGCCATCCAACCCTTAATAACTACTAGCTATCTGGGTTTCATGAGTACCTGAGGCTTTGCCTTGTACCCTGAGCTTTAAAGGGCTTACCACTATGTGGTTGAAACATGCCTGTTTCTGGGCACAAAGGGAACAGTGCCTCTGCAATGGGTGACCCTAGCTCACACTCCCCTAACAGTTTCAGGAATGTTTGTCGCATGCCTTCCGAAGGTACCAACATCTGCAATCAGGAGTCCTTTTACCCTATGAATATAGGGTCTACTTCATCATCAGAGTCCTTAGCTCTGCCAGGTGAGACTGAATCCCCTGCTTTGTCGGCCAGGGTCTCTACTACACTCACTCAAGACTTTGTGACCAGATTCACACAGTTTTTGGCTGGTTCAGACTGCAGAGTCTCTAAGCATGCTCCTGTGCCTTCCCTCCCCAGATACTGCAGCTGATCTGCCTGCTGCCTTAGAGGCATCTCAGCGATCAATCTTAGTGATTGTTTCTGGCTCCCCAGTCTTCCCCTGACAAGATTATCCTTCAGGAGTAGCAGTCTTTAGCTATTACTCCATATTTAAAAGAGACCATTTTGTCGCTACTTGATGTGGCACTAATTACTCTGCATCTGGAGGATCACCCTACTGTCAACAGTCTCGAGTCTTTCAGAGTTCCTACAGCTGCAAAGACCTTTCAGTCTCGCCCACTCCTAATTCTCTAAAGGAATTGCAAACACCCTGACTTGCATTTGACACCGTCCATATGGCTCATTCACACTATATAGGTTGACTTGTATTAACCTGCACAGATCAATGCAGTCTCAATGCATAGTTACATAGTATTTGAGTTTGAATAAAGACATTCATTAACTATCCCGTTTTCCTGAACAAATTCTACCAGATAATCCTTTATTATGCCCTCTAGCATTTTACAAACTACCGATGTTAGACTGACCGGCCTATAGTTCCCAGGTTGGCACCTAGCCCCCTTTTTGAATATTGGGACTACCGTAGCCCTCCGCCAATCACTGGGGATCCTACCAGTCATTAAGGAGTCCTTAAAAATGAGGATTAATGGTCTGCCTGTTCACACTATGCTGTGGTGAGGTGGGTTGTGGTGTGTAAAAATGGAAAACACATGTTCGGTATTGTTGCACGCGCTGAAGTGACTGCAGTATTCACTCTAAACTGATGTGCTTTAATGGCTTTCAAAGCATTTCCTATGGATTTATTTTTTTTGCCATTTTCGTGGACTTGGTATGTTTGGTCTCTATTTACCCGATGCAGCCTCATCTTTTATGTTTTACCAAAAATTGGGTATTGTTTGTGTGCACTAATATTAATTTGAATGCATTGTTTGCTGAAAATTTGGACTTAATAAACAGAAGCGCAATTATCGTGTTACATTAAAAAAATTGTAGCTGCCACCATTTTATTCTACAGGGTCCCCGCTTTCAGAAAATATGTCTTGTCCATTAGGAAGTTACCTGTCTGTTAGCTGTTCAAGGAGAGTTGTGTGTCCTGTCTGCTGTGCTTATCTTAAGTGTAGTTTACGGGGGGTCAGGTTTCCCCTTCTAGTTCCATCTGGACATAAGGGAGATGTCTATACACCTGGGTGCATTCCAGGACCTGCGTTGCAGGTGGAGGGCATCAGATGGGGAGCCCCATGATAACCTTGGGTCAACTCAATTGCAGGCCGAACAGGCTTGTTTCCTGGTGCAGGAATCCTCTGGCAGTAGTAGGGAATGTTCTAATGACTCATGAGGTGTGTAGAGAGATCTGCACCCCTGGAACCTTCTATTCTCTGCCTAATACTTGAGTTTCCATGTACCTTCCCCAGTTTGGCCATGCTGACAGTGGGATTTAACCCTGGTTTTCTATGCATTCTCAGGAACCACCATTACACACCATGGAGGAAATTCTACTCGAAGACAACCTAAAAGGCTCTTGCCTGGTAGTCATCAGCTTGAAGAGGTAGATGCCTGTTCTGATAGCCATTCTATGCATGAAACCGTTTTCCTCTTGGAGCTAAAGTGAGATCAGCTGAGCTAAGACATAGGACCTTCTTTAGACTTAGGTTGCCTCTGATCTTCCTCAGCTCTCCAAGAGGAGCTCCTTCAGTGTGTTGACCACTGTTCCAACTTGTGAGTCTTTTCCTTTCAGTGTTGCACCCTTTTCGTTGTATCATTTAGACCAGCTTCTGAGCTTATTTGTTTTCCATTCCCTGACATTCCTTACTAATTGTGTGAGTATTTTCTTCTGGCACTAAGCATTGGTCTCCCATGCTAGGCTGCCACCTTGTCTTGTGTGGTGCCAGCTTTGGGGCGTATGGTCCTCCAGGCATCTCTTGAGCTGCAGGCGGTCCCCAGTTTTCATTTTGTTCATGTTGGGCCTGTTAGTGTATTTTTCCTGCAGCCCATCCCTCAGTTGGAATGCTTTTAAACAACCTGAAGGTGAAAGACATTCTGTGTACGTTAGTGAATCAATTGAAAATTAGGATTTTTGTACCCACTGTAAAATCCCTTTCTTTGAGTCCATTAAAGGACACATCCCCCACCCCTCTGTGTTTGATGTTTATGATCGTGTCCTTGGTACTGCTTGCTACAAAATGTAGCATGCAGGTATTAGGATGGGTTATCCTGGACTGACCTGCAGTTATTTCATTTGCCAGTGTCCAGTTATGCTGTTAGCGGCAGTATAACCCGAAGGTAAAGGACTTCATGTGTTCCAAGAAAAGGATTTCACAGTGAGTACATAAAACCTGTTTTTTTTTTTATATCTGCCTGGAGTCCAGCTTTAATGCCAAAAAATATATGCATTACCCATAAAAGAATTGGTAAGCTGTACAACTTTCTTCAGTATTCGTCATCTCACATTCTAATTTCCATTTAGAAAATTAAAGAATATACACACTTAATATATTTATGATGTTATTAAATCATGCATAATAGGTCTTAATGAAGTGCCTTACAGCAAAAGAACAGTTTTTTTGTGTATATAGGAAATGTATATACTTTTGTAATACAGTTCACATTCTTACTAAATGATTCAGCTCATCTGTTACCTAAAATATATCACCCTCTCTGTTTGTCCTGGTGACCATTGGATTGGGACACAGTGATGAGAATTTGAACATTTTCACCAAAACACGAGGTAAAGGTAAATCATTTAATTGGTACACCCGTTCTAGTGATAACTGCCTAAGTAGAGATTTCCCCTTACTTTGGAGGTATTTCCTGTCACTTCCTGACTTTGGGTCTAACCATTCCATACTATAGTCCAAATTTAAAAGTAAGTTTCTTGATCGTACATCACAGGACACAGGGATTTAATCTTTTAACAGATGGGTTATTTAGCTATCTTAAGGTGAGCGGGTACCTTCAAATCAAAGCTGTTGGGACAACCCTGTATAACCATTCCCACTTGTTTCTTCCCAAATTTACTTAACCTTTAGGTTAAGCAGCTACCGTCATATGATTGGGCATTGGCAAGTCAAGCAAAGCTGCAAGACAGCCCTGTCTAACCCCTTCCACTCCCAGCATGCCTTTTTTTTACTAGTGTCCATAGGTGATGGACAGCATCTCTCAGCTCTGAGAGAAGTACTTTCTTTTGCGCTATTTTGAGATTTTTCTGAAAGATTCTAATACCAATTTACCTAATGCTGCTCTGAGCCACTGTGACCCCTTTTACCTTGTAGACCATATCCTGACCCTGCCAGAAGAAAGACACGGGCTAGCCTGTGCTTAGTCATTAGACCCTGCATGCGCTGTTAGCCACCGGTTGCTTTACAGGTCCAGGAACATGGTCCATCAATG